CATTAGTTTTATATAGAGCTTTTCGAGACCCTCAAAGACACTTTACAATTACAATATAATACAATAATTCATTTATATATTTCTGCTCATTTGGGTTTTGTAAATAACAACACAACACATAAAAAACAACTAAAAATCAACCCAAAAATAAAAAAATATATATTAAAAACAGTTCTAAAATTTGAGGATGAAGCTTAGAATGAAGAAAACAACGAGAACATTTGCAGTGATGTGGCCTGTCAGGGTAATGCTTCACGGTGCAGATTTTTTCAGGAAGTGTTTGAATAATGGGATTTTTCCCATGAGTTTTTCTTATTGAGTAATTCGTTTGGGGTACATTCACCCTCAGGGTGCATTTATCTTTTATAATCTGTACGTGCAACAAAATGACTTCTCTACAGGTAAAAATCCTGTGTTGCCATAATCCCAACCACAGGGAGGAAGTGAAACTTGGCGCACATGCAGGCTCACTGACTCACATGCAAAAGTTTGTGGGAGTGGTCAGAAGATAGTGGCTGCTTTTTGCAGACAGACACAAACTCTAATCAGATACAGATCCGTCAGACCCATCATGAAGCTGTATATGATTATTCCTCTGTGGGCTCTGCTCTCCATCACACAGGTAAGAAACACTAAAGACAGAAATACTCAYAGTAGTTTTAAGTTTTTTAAAACTTGATTTCTGATTTCAGACAAAAACACAAGATAATTGTGTTTGTGAGTTCATCAGCTCAGGAAAATCCTTTCCTCATGACAAACTCAAAATGGTGCAGGACAGTGCATCCAACTGCAACAGCCTTGTCACCCCTCAGAACGTGAGTCAGTCCACTAACACAGACACAACTCCACTAACAGTCAACTAACACAGACACAACTCCACTAACAGTCAACTAACACAGACACAACTCCACTAACAGTCAACTAACACAGATCAACTCCATGTGGGATGTGAGAGGTTACATGTACAGTATTTGTCCATGCTAAGTAAGTGTCTCTGTCCCTGCAGACCTTGGGGTTGGAGAGTCTGCTGCTCGGTCTGGACCGACGACTGCCTGAGCTGGAGGAGGACATAGCGATGCTGGAGCAGGAGGATGATGGCAAACTGTACGGTGCTCTCAGTTTGCACGTGATTGAGAACGAGCTCACTGAGGTCCAACAGCTGATTGAAAAACTCAACAGCACAACCTTTGAGCACAAACTCCTGAGTGATAACACAGCTCAGAAGGTACTGAGTATGATTTTCTGTTCATCATTGATACAACTTTTAATTTAACCATCAGAATGACACAAAACATGCAATTCGTCTTGATAAAGCACATTGGAATCTTGTACAAATATTTAGACTGAAAGATCCAAAATAACACAAACAGTTAAACAGTAACAGTAACATCAATTATTTTGTCTTACATTTTTAATTAATACCTGAGTGTCAGTGTTGTGTCTTACTGGTTACCTGGTCTAAAAGTACCAGAACATCCATCTTTGTTCAGTGAGTTTCAAAAAATACTGGATTGTCTGTCTCAGTTGGAGAATGTGAAAGAAGAAATGCAGGAACTGGAAACRTTTGACGCCATGCAGGTGGTGAAGAACCAACAAGCCAACCAGCGCCTAAAGAGAGACCTGGACCAGTGCAGGAATGGTGGACTTCATCCCACCCACCAGCCCACCAAGCCTACAGAAGGTAAGATGTGACCAGGTTTAACCTAATAAAGGATAATGCGTTTCTTGTCTGCATTGTGATACTTCACTTYACAGTTATCGGTCTGKTGAGATTGTTTTGCACTGAAAACAGGCAATTTCTGATTCCTAATCTCRGATTCTGATCTATTCTTGCACAAATCTTTATATCATTTTTATTATTAGTAGTTGTATCATGTCTAGTCAGTGTAAATTTTTGTTTTGTGTACTATCTATAGTTTGTAAAGTAACTAGTGTGTGAACCTCTGTACGGATGCTGCTGTGACACCTGAATTTCCCCTCTGTGGGACAATAATGCTATTCTATTCTATTCTATTCTATTCTATTCTATTTCAAATTAGGTATTTCAGTGTTGTAGACTTGAAAACAAAATGGAAAAAAATTATAAACCAAATATTTCTAAATTTTTCCAGGAACCTGTCCCCACGGTCGATTCCTAAACRTCACCGGACCGAGAGTCTTCACAGCAGGAGAGTATCCGGGTTCGTACAARTATGGAGCCTGGGGTCGAGATCCCAAACCAGAGGAGGGGAAGAAGAACTGGTACTGGCTGGTCATGATGACGTCCAGCAACGTTTTCTCCAACTACGTCCGTTTCTACTCCAGCCTGAGCTCTTTAATTGTTGGAGTGAGTACCCCAGGTAAGGGAATCACAAACTTAGAAAGAAAAATAAACACTTACAGCTTTTTTTCCTGAAGGGGCAGGTACCCATTGGGCCACCACCCTGGATCGATCTATACRTCTTACAACAGTTGAAGTCTAAAATTAGCATTTTCAGCTATTAAATAGGACAAATTTATTTTATTTTTAAGTTAGGTCAATTATTTTTTGTTCACATATTAATAAGATTGGCTTCTTCTGTTTATTTTTTTTTACCAGGTAATGTCCTGATCCATGTAACTAACCCAACCACCAACACCATCCAGGGTCCGAATGTGGTTCTGTTCGGCGATGCCCTTTACTACAACTGTTACAACAGTTATTCTGTTTGTCGATTCAACCTCACAGCAAAAACTATCACCACATTACAACTACCCCAGGGAACCAGGTTGGTGTAAAATCTGTAGAAATTTGAATTATTATTATTATTATTATTATTATTATTATTATTATTAT